GTTCAGAACAAGGTTTGGAAAATATCTGACTTGAAAAGCATAAGGTTAAAGTTCTTTAAATTTCTGTTCTGGACATCAAATCTGCTTTCAGCTGGAATATCAAATCTTCCCCCTCTCTTCTCCTCCACTGCCCACAATTCTGGGATCAGGGGCAAACACCTGAGCAGAATAAATATTGTTCATTGCTTAACCTGCCTATTTTAACTGTGCTTCAAGCAAGGGATGTCCTTCCTGCTGCCTTTGCTGAGTAAGAAGTTCTTAAGAAAAAAGAGAAAAAAAAAAAAAAAAAGAACAAAAAAAGCCCAAAGGGTTTCAGCACCATCAGTGCAGGAAGGCTGAGTGAACGTGCAGCTCATGGGATTAAGGCTTCAGAAAGAAACTGAGCATCCAAAAGTGGAGAGGGAAAGAAAGAGCTTAAAAAGACCGACACAAGAAATTCTGGAATGATCAAAGATGCCTTTATAAAGTTTTATCTTAACTTCATTCTAAATATACAGAATAAAAAATGTCGGCGTCAGCATTTGACATCGATCACCTCTGATAACACCACGGACTTGGGCAGGGTGGCTTTTCCAACGTGCAGTGGATGGGACACCGGGAATTCAGACGGCACAGCCTTACCAGGAGGGACATGCAACAGTTTGTATCCAATCTGTACTCAGTTATTTACATCGTGATGGGCTGGAAAGTCATGGAAAAAGCAAAACAAGCCACCCTTCTAAATGAGAAGTCACCCTCAGGTCAGTGTGAGTTAACCCAGGAAATGGAGAGTATGAAATCATCCAGTTTGGAAGTAATTTGGATGGACAACGTTTGTGTAAAACCCCACTGAACATCCCATTGTCCATCCTGTACAACACAACCCAGACTCATGAAGCATTCACACCTTACCTTAACGTTTATAAGCTTGTCAGTGAAACCTTTGCTCTAATATCCAAATTACTTTCAAAAAAAAATCAAATAAAAACTTTGTTCTAGTTGAAAATTGATGTTAAAAAGTTTTTCCCCCATTTTGAGTAATGCTGATTTTTTTAACCATATGAAAAGCTGTGTCATTCCTGTGTCTGCCAGGACCCCCTGAGGGGGTTTGTTCCAGCTCATTTGGTTTTCTCCTCAGAGTACATCTTCTGCTGCAGCCTCTTGGCGTAGCTCTGGGCCATGGAGTTGATAATAGACAAGATAAAATAACAAACCATGACAATCACCAGTTTCTCAAATATCCAGGAGAGCCAGTTTTCCCCCTGGAGAGACAAAACAGAAGGAGGAGGAAGATGGAGATTAGCAGACAGACGGTGGAGAATTCTCTAATCAAATCCAAAGCAGGGACCCAGCACAGGCTGATGGGATTCCTGCAGGTCCCTCTGCAAAGCTGCCCTTGGTCCCTGGAAAGACAATGCAGGAGGCTTTGCCAAACCCACCACTGGGCACATGACGAATCCCTGCTCATTCCCAGGGTGCTCCCAAAGTGATTTATTATTCCCAGTATTGTTTGGGCTCCGCTAACGATTCTTAGAGTTCGGAATTAGCAGCCCCTGACTGTCATTCCCCGTCATGTTCCTCGCACAGAAAACAATCAGGTCATTGGTTAACAATGTTTTCTTTTTCCCTAAACTGCACATTCCGTGTTCTCTTCCCATTAGGATCCGCCTGGAAGTTCCAGTGACCTCGCCGGTCCCGCTTCCAGCGTTTTTCGTGGCAACTCTTCCCTCGTTTCTCCTGTCAAAGGAGGGCAGCAGCGCTCTGCCCACGATCCCTTCCCTGCTCTGCCCACGATCCCTTCCCTGCTCGGCGACTCCAGCCCGATCCCCCCCGAGGCTCTTTTGTGGGCAGAAATGGCCAGAGGAACATTTACAACAGCCTCAAATATCACACGTGAAATCCGAGTTAGGTTCACGGATTTTATTTAAAATGCCTCAGCATCCTCAAGGATTTCACGTCCAAGTCGCTCTGTCCCGTTGCAAATTCAGGGTAAGTTTTTTAAAATACTTTTTTCTAATTTTTTTTTTTTTTTGCATGAAAGGAAATTTCTGCCCCTTGTACCTGCTCTAAACACCGTAGTTTTCTTTTCCGTTCAAACACTGAAGGCTTGGGGATTTTATTTCTCTTACTGTCCACTAAGCCACAGACCCTCCTGGCTCCTGAAGCATCGATGCTGCACAGTTTGTTACCCCTTCACGTGGAAATGCAACTTTTTCCTCCTTAAATTTAACCTTCCAAGCAGGCAGCTAATGCAGAGAGGCAAGAACTGCCACTAGTCTTGCTCTATTTTTTTTTTCTTATTGTCTAAAGGATTGAAATCCAATTTTTGTACAACTACAGAGTAAGTTTGAAACAGAGTTAAGTTTAAAATCCAGTTTCACACAATTACGGGGGAATTTTAAAACCCAATTTCACACGATTACAGGGTAGTTTTTAATTCCCAGGTTGATTTTGAAGTGAGATTTTTATCTCTATTGCTCGGGTCAGTGCAGATCTTGGTAAAACAGACACGTGAAGAGCCCGAGAAAGGCTGAGCTGGGGGAGGGTCTTACCTGTGGAACGCCACCGTCCGACTTGTGGTGAAGTTTTATCCTCTGAGCTTCCAGATATTCTTGAAATGGCTTCTGAAGAGAAGGACCTATACTTGGAATAGCACTGATGGAAAGTTCATCCCAGAGAACGAGACAAAATAGGGGAGGAAAAAAAAAAAACAAAAACAAAAAAAACACCATTGGCTTTTTTCTTTTCTTTTTTTTTTTAAATAAACTTACCACTTTACCTAATGAGAGCAAAGTTCAGGCTGAGCTACAGCTCAGGAGGGAACTCCTGAGACACTTGAGAAAACAGAAACCCCACGAAATAAAGCAAAATATTCATCTTTTGATCTTTCCCCAGATCCTCCAAAAGTGCTCAAAAAGAAAAAAATCTCTGTGAGCAGCAGAGCGCCGGGAAGGGAGGCAGGAGCTGGGAGCTGGAGCATGTCCTGGAGGCAGGAGAAGGAGCTGAGCACTGGGGCAGTGCTGGGAGGCAAATGAATGACTTCGGAGAAGTCCCACATTTATCAGCAGCAGTTCCTGTAAGAACTGGTTTGAACCGATTAATAAGGAAATGACTTGTGCTTGTGTCATCCCCCGGTTAAAAAAGAGGCTGCTCGCCCTATGACTTGCCCCTTCTCCTGCGAGGAGACGGCCCCTTTCTCCAACAAAGTCCTTATTAGGACAATCTGTGCGTCATCCCTTCCCAAAAGGAACGCGTGAGCAAATCCTGCGGCACCTCCCCCGGGCAGGGATTAACAAAGGAACAAAGAGGCGCTCGGAGCCCTGCCCTGCATCGTGCCAGCCTGGGTGGCACAGGGCGGGCTCCGAGGGACCTGCTGAACACCTTGTTCCTGCTGCGGGGTCACGTCTGGGAGCTCGGAGCCCTCTCGGGGTGAGGGTGGTACCGCCGGGCAGCCTCTGCCCTCCACCCAAATCCCCCTGGCCAGGCTTCCCCCAAACCCACCCAGGCAGCTTTGCCTTAAATCCACCCACCCTGCTATTTAGCAAATAGAGATCCAAAGCCCTTCAGTAATGATCACAACCCTTAAATAAAACCCCAAAACTCAACTATTCAACCCTAGAACTTGGGCAGCCTCTGACCTCCCCTCAAATCCCCCTGGCCAGGCTTCCCCCAAACCCACCCAGGCAGCTTTGCCTTAAATCCACCCACTCTGCTATTTAGCACAAGATCCAAACCCCTTCAATAATGGTCACAACCCTTAAATAAACCCCTAAAACTCAAATATTAAACCCCACAATTCAAATATTACCCGGAATAAACTGTCACCAGCACCAGCACGGCCTGAGCTGTGTGAACACACAATCCAAGGGCTCCCAAGGCTGGATCCACAAACATCCACCACCACTCCTAACTCCCACCACTGACAAACACCACTTGAGTTTCAAAGAGAACGGAGATTTTAATTTATTTTCTTTTTTATATTTACCTGGGTTTAAATTTTTTTAAATTTAAAGAGATCAATGTGATCTCCTACACTGAAAACTCACCTAATTTTCAACGCTTCACTTTTAACTCTTCAGTAAAACAATTCCACACACCAGGACACATCCAACAACAGGTTTTACAAGTGACCATCTCCCTGAGTCCCTCCAATTATTTTCCTCCTCGTTTGACACGATATTCCCTTTTCCAGGCCAGAGCCCAATTAAAAAAGAACACTTTCTAATTTTAGGAATTTCAGAAAAGGCCCCGAGTGAAGAAACAAAGTGCCTCATTCTGCTGCTCTCAATGGATTTCCTTCATGGCCGGGGGCAAACGCCTTTTTGGAGCAGATTTCCCAGAAAAAGGGCCACTTCCCTCATGATTCACCCCCGGGATGAGACAAACCGGGGTGGGGGAGGAAATTCTGTGCCCGGGGCTGCCGAAATTTCAGGGGGGGGAAAAAACCAACCCCAGAGAGTCCAGCCCGTCCCTGACACGTTTTACACAAATCCAAAGGATTTCCAGGATTCAGCCCCGGCCCTTCGGCGCCGACCGTTCCCGGGAAAAACCTCTCCCGGTGAGTCGGGGCCGGGGCCGAGTCACCCTTGGGACGTTCTGAGGTTTCTCTGCCTTCCTCCAAGAGCTCCAGCAAGGTAATGGTTCACTTTTAAATTGTGCCTGGTTCTGAAGTGAGGAATATTTAAATGGCGAGGGGTGAATGATTAACAGCAGGGTGTTCAAATGACTCGGGCTTTGCCTGAAAACCCAACAAAGTCGGTGCTAAATTAGCTTTAAACACAGAACAAAGCCATGAAACCCAAGTTCAGAGGCTTCAACAGCTCCTGCTGCATGGACACTGAATTTCAAAATTTTTCTCACTAAAGAATTCACTTTTTTTTTTTCCTTTTCTGAGCACGGCTATGACTTAAATTAATTAAATTAAAAAGGCACAAAATTAACTTCGTTACAGCTGTTTTAAAGAACTGCAAGACTCTCAATGTGAGGACCTGGGCTTCTAAAATTCTGCAATTTTTCTAGAGTCTTTAATACTGAAAAAAAAATGTGCCTAGATTTAAATAAGGAGCAAAACGAAGCAGAGGAACATTTAGAAAATCCTGAATCCGCAGTGCTGGGAATGAAATCCTTGAAATCCCATTTCAGCAGGACAGTGTTGGTTACTCGTGCTCTTTTGGCAAAATTAAACCATTTAATCTCCCCAGATATGTCACCTGATATCCAAGTGTGGACATAACTTAGATCTAAAAGTCTTAAAACTCAGTTTTATTTAATTTAATTACAACTAAGTGTAACTGAGAAGAAGTTTTAGGAACTCTTAACATTCAATTTTTGGTTTAATTCCTTCTGATTCTCTGCTAAAACTGAATGTTCCACAAGGAGTTGTAACTGAGAACAAACCTCCAAACAATTGCACCAGCCTTTGGTGCAGCCTAAATTCATGAAAATTAAAACATTTCAGTCAAAAACACGACTTGAATTCCAACACTAAAATATAAGCATCACTCAGAATTCTGATTCACTGAGAAACCACCGTTGGAGCCTGTTCTCAGAACTGTCACCTGGGATTTGTAATCAAACAGATGAGGATTTATTGTCTTTAACTCAAAGCTACAATTTCTATCCAAATTAAAAATTCTAAAGCTGTTTTTTTCCAATAATTAACCCCAAACTTCCCATCTATTCAAAGCACCACATTACAGAGATTCAGCAAAGCTGCTTCAGGATTAGTTTTAAAATTACACCAAAGACCTGCAGGCTCTGGCTTCCTAAAACTTCCATTCTCTTTCCAGCAAAACCGTGTTTAAAATCCACTGGACAATTTATAAATTTGCTTTTCCAAGAGTGACTGTCACTGTAAGTGGGAGGAAAGGTTAAATCCTTTGAACAGAACCTCTGGAACCCCAGGAAGGAGTTTTCTCCAAGGCACCAAACCCAGAGGAGAAAAATTGTGTTTTCCCCTGTGCTTAAGAAAAAGCAGGAATTTATTTGATATTCCAGTCAATGCATTTTTACTGATACTAAAAATACTTATTTAATACCATTAATCATGGTATTTGCACTTTTGAAAGGCATCGTTTTCATCTGACGAGATCTTTAGGAGTAGAGGTTGCTCTGAGTTCCTGAAATCTCTTACCCTGTGCTTGGAGAGGTTGGGAACACTCAGGGAATTAATCCCAAGCTGTGCTAAAGCTCAAGGGCAGGGGTCACTCAACAACTCCCTAAAAATCTCCCAGAGCCCAATTTAGGTTAGAAAGTTCCCATCTTACAAAAACACTTGTGGGTTTTTGCCCACTTTTTGCCCACTTTTCCAGAGAGAAATGTCAGAATTCCCAAGTATTTTCAAAAAAAAGAAAAAAAGAAGCAGCCACTGTGAGGTCCCATTTTGGGAGCATTAATGAGGCTTTTGCTGCTAATTAGAGCTTCTCATTGACAAGAGGCTCGAGCAGCAAGTGCTGATGAAGCAGCTGATTAACTCTGAGCTGTTCTGAAACTCCAGTTATTCTGGGGGAAATTAAAAATGTAAATAAGAGTTTCAGTGCATCTCTGAGCCTGACAGACCGAGCTCAGCAGCTCCCAGGAACAACTGAGATCCAGCCCCAGCCAAGAAACACGGGGGTTTAAAAAAAAGTCTTGTTTGAGCATGGAAGCTTATTTTCTCCTGGAAATTATACCCTGGAGGGTTTGGGACCCTGCCCTCCTGCAGCAAACAGGGATTATCCCTGCTACAAAAAAGTGGCACTGAAGGATGTGCCAGAGGCAGGAGGGACATTCTGGGCTGGACTTTTCCCTCCCTGCACCTCCAATCTTTAAAATCACACTATTGACAGCCAGGCCAGAGGGGCAAAGGCTCTCACCTCTCAACAATTATGCAAAACATCATTAAACCATCCCATTTATTAATTCCTATTTCTCCACTCCCCTGGGAGAGCACAGAAAAACCCATCCTGCAGCTCCAAAGCAGTAAAACGTTAGGAAGAGGCACCGAATTTGGGTATTTGAGTGGTACCAACTTCTCTGGGAGTCAGACATTTTATAAACCATCGAAACCAGCTTCCAGTGGAAGTATTTTGGTGCCCCTGGACAATTAGCAGAGAGGGTTCATTTGCATTCCCGTGGGAGAAGAGCACCTCTCCAGCCCCTCAGAGGTTCCTGTGCCTGCAGCCCGGGCTGAGCAGCCCAACGGTCGGGTTTAATGAGCTGTCATTTCCTGTGCCGATAAAACCTCTCCCAGGATTCAAACCAGCCCCTTCCCGGGGCTGCAGCACCGCCAGGACCTGCTCTGGGCTCGGCCTTAACCAGCCCTGCACCCTGGCTCAGGGAAACCTGCACCCTGGCTCAGGGAAACCTGGGAGCTGGGACTGCCCAGAACTAGATCCTTGGCTTAGGGAAACCTGGATCCCAGTTTAGGGAAAGCTGGGAGCTGGGACTGTCCAAACCTGGACCCCAGCTTGGGGAAACCTGGGAGCTGGGACTGCCCAGAACTAGACCCTGGCTTAGGGAAACTGGGAGCTCGGGCTACCCCAAAGCTGGAGCCTGGCTCAGAGAAACCTGGGAGCTAGAACTAGGCACTGACTTAGGGAAAGCTGGACCCTGGCTCAGGGAAAGCCTGGAGCTGGGGCTGCCCAGGCCTGGCTCAGGGAGAGCCTTTGCAGGCTGGGCTCCCCAGGAGCAGCCCCAGCTGGGCCTGAGCTGAGCTGTTCGGGGCTCTGAAGCTGCACAAAATAAATCTGGTTCGGGGCAGGATCAACAGAGACCTTTGGGGTTCAAAGGCTCCCTGGAGATTCATTTCCTTTGGGAGATGAAGACAGAAAATCTCCCTGGAGTCACCAAGCCAAAGGGGTCCCCCCTCTGACATTCCCACCTGGGCCCTCCCATCCCACGTGAGCCTGCAGGGCCTTCCTTGGGCCACTGTTAAACCAAGGCTTCCAAAAATAGCACCAGCAACACCCCTGACCTGCCCCTCCTCAGCTCTGCTCCCCAGTGCTCTGAGCAAGGAAACTCCTACTTGCATTTGAAAGATTTATTTTTGGTACTAATTTAGGGGAAAGAAAACTTGCTTGTTGGGAGCTTTTTGCAAATAAACTTCTATAATTCTGCTGTGATGCGCTGGAAGGTTTTCAGCTCCAGAGCTGCTCACATTTCCTCCACCTCTGTGCCCCTCTGAAGGCTCTAAAGCCTGGTTTGTGCAGAGCTGCTCTGCTGGACACAGTCCCACAGGTTCTGATGGAGCTGGGGCAGGGGAGATGAGTTACTAAACCAACCAGTGTGAGGTGGATCCGTGTAACCTTCCAGAATCCCTCTCAGGAGGTTGGGAAGTCTCTGCTCTCCACCTCCTTAGCCACTTCAGGTTGCTTTTGCTGAGTTCTACTACACAGGTTTTGTGTAGTAGAAACTGGAACCTGTTTCTCAAAACGCCCTTTGAAGCAGCTCAGCAGGACCTGGGCTGGGGCAGAACAAAGGTCCAGCTGTCAGAGGGTGGGGGTGGCTCCCAAAAACCAGGGAATCAAACCCAGGGCTCTTCCCACCCCAGGAAAAGATTCCTGGTGCAGTCCTTCATCACTCCTTGACTTGTGCTCTGAAGAAATAACCTAAACCTGGACTGTAAATGATTTTTGACCAAAAAAACCCCTGACAATCCTTAAACAAACTTCCCACCAGGGACTGTGATCCCATTTGTGCTGTTTGGGGGGAAGGAACATCAGGCTCCTTCCCCAGCACTGACTGGGAGCAACTTGTGAACAAAGATTTATGGCACAATAAACAGCAGGAAACTGGTTTGTCCAGGCAACAGTTCCAGTGCCTGTGACCAAAAACCTGCTGTTCTCTCAGATGGGCACCATTCCCACGGGGCTGCAGGGCTGGCAAATGTGTCCCACAAAAAACATCGGGATAAGGACCCTTCATGGATATTTTTGGGTAGTTTTCCAGAGTTGGCTGAATTACACCTTGCAGGGTCTCGCTCGTGGGTAAAAATCCGTGGAAGTGGCAAAATTTTTAGATGCATTTCACTGCATGTAAACTTCAAATTACTTTATTGACTAATTATTCCATCCCTGGAAGTATCCAAGGCCAGGCTGGACAGGGCTTGGAGCAAGCTGGGATTGTAGAAGGTGTCCCTCCCCGTGGAAAGGTTGGAACAAGATGATCTTTAAGGTTCCTTCCAACCCAAACCATCCTGGGATTCTGATTTACCACAGGTAAAAAGGTGGGATTCCTCCCAAAGGGATGTGGCCACTGAATTCAGATGCTTTGGAGGTGAAGGCCACGTGCAATAAAACATGATATTTTTTATGAATTATGAATTTTTATGAATGTTTTAGGTGCCTGTTGTGAAGCTCACCAAACGTGAACAGGGCAGGCTGAATCAAACAAAAATTAGATTCTTTCTGAACATTTAACCAGAATGGATGGGCAGCAGCTCTGTGGATGGTTTGTGCTTTGAGAATTATTTCTTCAAGTAGTTTTCTGGGAATTCTTAATCCCCATTTAAAAACTGCCACTTCCAGGAAAACATCATCGTGTCTAAAAGCACTTTGCTCAGTGTGACTTCACAGCCAGCCCTGCAGCTGTAGGTGAAAAAACCGAAAAGCAAAGACTGAGGAGCCAAAATAAAACCCACAGTAATTAAATCTTTGCAACGGGCTGGGCTGGGCCCAAAAGCAGCTTTACAGGGGGGTAAAATCAGGCAGTCAAACTGTTCTTCAAGGGACAGGACCCAAAGCTCCTGCACCCCAAAAGAGGCTCAGGGACAGAGCAGCTGAGAGAACACGACCCTCTCCCAGCACTGGGGCAGCAACAAAGGGCTCCGAGCAGGAACTGGTGGAACAGGTTGGTGATTCCCAGCCCAGGGAGTTCCCAGCACCTCTAAACCCTCCCCAGCCTGGCTTTCAGCCTCCCCCCAGCTCCAGCTCCCAAACCCACCCGTGTCTCCTCCTTCCTCCCAACCAGGTTTGTTGCCACCACCCACCTTGGGACCGTTTTTTGTGCTCCAGCGACCACCAAAAATCCTCAAAAATTCAAAATTTTCCATGAGCAGCTTCTCCATTTCCTGCCACGTTTGCCTCTGTTTGTTTAATTACTACAGGGAGTATTTTATGAGCTGTTTGTAGACAGAGCTGTGAAGTCACATCACCCTCAGTGCTATTAAACCAGTGACACAATAAACAGCTCCTGAGCTGTACTTGTGAATAATTCCTGCTTTTTCACTAAAAATCACGGAATTAGTATGAAATTTTCCCTGGCTTATAAAATCAAATCTCCCCAGACTTTATCTCACAACTTAAATCTTCTGTCTAGGTTTTTTTCTCCTGGATATTAATGTGTCCATTATTTTCAGGTGCTGTGCTCAGATATTTCCCATTGTGCAAGAGCAACGTCCCAGACAAAGGAAGCCTGAAGTGGAATTTGATTAAAATGAAGTTACTGACCACTAAAGAGAACTGTATTTTAATTTAATAACAGGGCTTTTAATGCAAGGTATTGTTTAACATGTTTGCTGTTCCCTCTAACACAGATTGATGAGGTAATGCCAGCAGACAGCTTGGGAAAAGTCAAGGATACCGGGACATTCCAAAAATCTCACTGTCTCCCAGGAACATTTTTTAACTCTGACATCAACCCTCCAATAAACCCAAATCCAGCAGAGCTCCTGTGACTGCACTCGGGGTAATTCAATGCAAAATTATCTCCAAGACAGATGAAGTAGGAAAAAACTCCCGGTTTTGGCTCCAGGATCCTCAGGAGAGGAAATCCTCGGAAATACCTGAGCTGGTGTGACTGAGAAAAACTCCTGATGGTTCAAAGTTGCCACGTTTCTCTCCCTTTTGTTTTAAATAATGTTCAAAGCAACAAATTAATGTTGAAGTTTGGTACAAAACAGATGGGAAGATCAGGAATAATAAAGTCAGGATTAATGAAATTCCCTGCAAGTTTCTTCTGACACTCCTTTTCCTTTGTCCAGCATCACTGCTTGGAGTTTGGGTGCTTTGAAAGGAATTATTTCCAGACATTCCTGCCCTGGAACCGTTCTCGAGGAGTGTGGATTTGGGGATTTTACATGAAAATAGTTATTACAGTTTGGGCAGCAAAGTGTCAATCAATTTGTCCCATTGAACAAACCTTGGGAAAGTAGAAACACCTTGGAATTTAATTTAGTTTATGGATTCATATGAGATTGGATTAATTCTAGTTTATAAAAAACCCACAAAGCCCAACAAAACCCCCAAACCCAACGAAAATAAAACTTTGTATTTGCATATCAGAGACTCACATTTAAAACTTCCAACCTGGAATTCTGTTGCTTTGTCTGTTCCCCCCTTCCCCAAACTGTTCCTAGCTGAGGGTTTGCTTGTTTTAAACTGAGATTTTAACTTAAAAAAATAAAATATCCATCCATTACTAAAGAACTCAGTAAAAAAAAAAAAGACAGTTTTTCTCCAAGTCACAACAGTTTACCCATGAAAACTGCCCTTTTCTACCGAATTTATCAGAATGGAGATCAAACTCTACACACCCAATTTCTCACCCTGATGGTTTATGAGAGATTTAATATTGTAAATGTCTAATGTGTAACTGTATGGAAGATGTTTACTGTTATCTTGGAACACTGCATAAAATCCCGAGGTTTTAATATAGAATCATGGAATTCTATGATTTTCTCCATAAATATAATACGTAAAATACATATCTATAATATATCCATAATACAGTATAATATCTAAACTATATAAATATTATAAGTATTTATTGTTATATAAAATATATAGATATAATATATGAATATAAAATATATTATTATATATTTATTATTAAAGTATATTATAAGGTATTATAATATATAAAAGAATGTATTTGTATAAGTTATAAATATACTATAACTATAGATAATATGTTAATATAATTTTCTATAACTTTTCTCACTACAACCCTGAAGAAAGTCCCTGCAAACCAGCCCCCTTGCAGCTAAAAGTGCAGGAATGTCTCCCTGGAAGAGCTGCCTCCCATTCCTGGGGGAAGGTTCCTGCTGCTCCTGCAGCCCCACCCTGGGGGCTGTTCCTGGCAGGACTTTGAGGTGAGGCCTAAATTCTGGGTGGGCCAAAGCCGGGCTTGGAAACAAAGCCCAACTCCCAGCCCAGCTGCTCTGAGCCCTGCACTGCTTTCCCACTTAATGAGGGCAGGTATTAATTACTCACCCAATGAGGGCCACCATCTGCTCCACGATGTGTTTGCTGAAGGTGATGATGACGAAGAGTTTCTGCAGGAAGGAGAGGAGTGGGATCAGAAGGGAGGCACAGACAGTGCCTCGTGTCCCTTCCCCCCCAGTGCCACAGCTCCCCCTCCTCTCCTCTTTCACAACCTTCCCTTTTCAGCATTCCCTTCAAAAAGCTGGTCCCTTTCTCCCTCTGTTTCCTCCCAGATTTCATCTCTTGCAATGTTTTCGTAGCCTGTTCCCGACCATCCGTGTCCTCCCCAGACCCGCGTTCCCAGAAGCTCAAGGTCACTTTACTCCGTCAACAAAGTTTTAATGGAAAAGCAGCCACGGCTGTGCAGCAAAATTCACATCCCCTTACACAAACACGGGGACCTGAGGATCACAGGGGGGAAAAATAACATATTTCAGTCCCCGAGTCCACGTGACTCAGACAGAACACGGCAAAAAATACTCAGTGAAGAACAAGGAGCCTTTGGGCACCTGTGGGATTGTCACTGTGACACAACAGCCTGCTTGGAACAGAGGAATGTCAATTAAAAACTCCTGTAACACATCCCAATGGCTGTGTAGACATTTCACCACTCCCCTTCCTCCAAAAGCAGTTAAAATGTTGATAAAACAGCCTTTGCTCCTTCCCCTTGGTCCTGTTTGACATCAGGGTGAGCAGACTGTGAGTGGACGAGGGTACACAAAGTTCCCACAGCCTCCTCGGACCAATTTAAGCCTGACCTAAGCAGAGCTGCCCTTCCTAGGCTGGAAACAGGGGATGTGAGTCCAACCAAAGGATCCTGTGGCCTGGAGGAAGAGCCCAGTTCAAAGCAGCTCCGGGATGGCCACTGCTCCAGTCACTGCTTCCTGTCTGGAGAACACTTCATTAAAGGCCTTTTCCATGACTCTCACATTTCCTAAATTCCAAGTTCAGCCAGATCACTCCGAAAATCAGGGCTATTGCACAAGAGTGTGCTTGAAAAAGAGAATTCTAATAGCTGAGCCCATTATAAAATCAGATGATTTACCAACTGTACAAGACACTGGGAAATGGTTTTGCACTTCCATGTGATCCGAGCCTGGAGCACCATAAATTACACAGCAAACACTGTGGGAGCTGAACAGGGCAATTAAAGCAATAAAAGGAATATTGATCAGATGCTATTTCACTTCCCTGTGCTGCCAGACACAGAGATTTAAAAGCAGAAAAAAATTCAGATAATACAAAAATAAGTGTGGAGGAAAAGCTGTTCCATCCCAGTAAACGAGAGAACTGCCAAATCTATTTGTTGTTTTCTGTTTAAGGGCTGGGCAGAGTAAAACAACCATTTACAAAACGATGGGAGGAACAAAGCTGAAGATTGAAATCTCCTGTTTGGGGCAAAGGATTTTAAAGCAGCTTGGTGAGGTTATTACAGGAGTAATTTTATACTAAAAGCTTCTGCTCTTGAAAAAGAAATCTCTGCAGAGATTTCCAAGCAACAGAGGTACAGGTACTGTCTTAAAGAACCCAAACTCAGCCGAAAACACCCCAAACAGAGACACAGCTCATGAGCCAGCACTGACCACACCTGGAGGGTCCCCAGGGAACCAACACTTCACCTCCCTTAGCACGAAACGGGGACGCCGCATTTAAAAGCAAAACTGAACGTTTTTGACTGGGATTGTCCAATTCAGCCCCTCGGGTCGGCCCTGAGGGAACAGGACAAAGGGGAACATCAAAAGCAGGCCGAGGAGTCCAAAAAGTGCCGACCTTGCTGCGAGGGGGGCTGAGGAGCCCAGGGAGGAGCCCCGGGCTGGGCTCAGGGCACCGGGGGTTTCTCTACGTGCTCAGCTGAGCTAAAAAGAGCCTCTCCCGAGCCTCTGCAGCCGCGTCGTTACCAAAAAGGCAAGTTCACTATGAGTGCCGAGCTGGTAAAAGCCGTAGGTAAATACCTTGGCTAACCACCAATTTCCTGAGCGGGTCAGCACAGAGCTCGTTCCTCCGGGGCTATAAATTACTCACTGGGAGCCTGAGCAGCCCAGCAGATCCTTTATTGTAAAGCCTTTGCACCAAATTAATTTCCATGACTTCAGGTCGGGCAGGGAGACTCCACAAGCCATTAGGAAGTAACACAGTGGAACGGTAAGAGAAGGAGAAAAGTCTCTCCCCCCAACCCCCAAAGCCCGAGGGAGGGGCAGCACTTGCCTGGATGTGCATTTTAATGACTGCTTTGCCAATCAGGGTGGCACCGAAGAAGGTCCAGAAGGGAACAAGGAAGTGCCCACATGTTATCCCGGCCAGGTCGAACAGGGGGTTCGGGATCTGTGGAGTGAAGGGGAAGAGGTTCAGGAATTCAGCACACACCGGGATGAACAGGAGCACGACGGGCTCTGAAACCCTGAAAAATGAACAGTTTCCCCTTCTCCAACTTGATCCAAAGCTCCTGTGTCTCCAGAGCTCCAAAACTGTTGCTGTCACACCACATAACTCTGGGATTCAGCTCCACCATGTCCCAGACAATTCCATTCTCATGGTCCCTCCTTACCCCTGGATTCTGACAAAAGCCAGCAGCAAGTTTTCCATGTGAAATGCACAGAAACCACAGCAAAGCCATTTTGAGTGATTTATCAAATTTTCTCCCTGACAAGCACATCACTCTTGGAAGCCAGTGCTCCAACTGATCCCCGGTGATTTCCAGCTGAGAAACTACACTAAAAACTGGCATTTATGGTCATATGTATCCAGTTTAAAAGCACTGATTAGATTTTATGAAGCATATGCATTTCATTTGAAATTAAACGAATTTTTTATTATTATTAAACTGTTGGCTTGACTTTTGGTATTGTGATACTATCTGTAAAATATTTTTGAAATGAAACCAAGAAAGTATCCAAATTGCAACCTTTCAGCCTGCAGTGAAGGGGCAGTGTCTGAGGGGAGTGTGTAATCACAGCAGCAATGTGGTACTGGGGTAACAAACTGCAGGACTGGCGGTGTTTTGTTACATAAATAATGAAATAAAGAGTGAGGATTGGTAAAGAATAAAGGATAACAACACTGCCTGGGCTGACTGGGCACCTGCAGTGTGGGAGGAAGCCGAGCAGGGCTGGACTGGGCTGTTCCAGTCCAGCAATTCAGATTTATGAGCACCCACAGCAGCACCTGCAGAGGGAGAAACCTGAAACGGGGCTCTGATCGTGCCCGAAATGGTCCCTGGACAGGCTCCACCTCAGGGACCTGCCCTGGGGCAGCTGCTCTGGGCACAGGAGTTGGTGAATTATTGACCCAGCCCAGCTCCAGGGTGTTCTGGGTTGGGTGGTTTGAGGGGGTTTGGGGAGTTCACAGAAGGTTTCAATGCTCTGGGCAGGGAGCCCTTGGGGCAGGGAGCCCTTGGGGCAGGGAGCCCTTGGGGCAGGGGCTGTGGGGCTGTAGGGCCAGCCCTGCACTCAACAGACAGGGGCAGGAGTTACCCCAGGCCCCGAGAGGCTGTTCCTGGGCTTGGCTTTGAAAACACACACAGACAGTGCTGGGAGTCGCCAAAAAAAGCCCACAAAGCCAGGAGGGTGAATTCTCCCAAGTCACAGGGAGGATTTTCAGGGCTGATTCTTGCTTTGTTCCTTCCCCAGAGCAGCCTTTCCACAGAAACAGGCTCAGGACAATACTGTGGCTTCCTTATTGCCACTCATCAACATTACAGTCAGTTGACCTCACTGGATGAACTTGCAGAGCTTTAAATTCAATTTGATGGGGCTTTTCTGTTGCATTTAGAAGCCACCACTCGACAGACAGCGACCCACAGCTGGGCCAGGACCACCACTCTGGGAGCAAGTTCTCCAGTCATAAAAAACACATCACACAAACCCCTGCTTAAAATCCTCAAGGAAGGTCCCAGTTCTGAGTGAAGGAGGCACCTTCCAGCACACAGAGGAGCAGCAAAAAGGAAGAGAAGGTGGTGGGGGGCTGGCTTTCTCTGCCTTTCTCTCCTTTCCTCTCCCTCAGGTGCCACACAAATGCACGGCTCTGGATCCCTGTTTTTCCCGGGCCTCTCCCCTTCCACAGCTGCTCCGCAGTTGCTCAGTAAACACATTAACAAATCCCCAGGTGCCTCCCCGGTGGATCGATGGCTCCTCATCCCTCCCCCGCCCGGCCGGAGCTCAGGGCACGGGGCAGCGAGCAGGGAAGGAGTTCGGCAAATGTTTAAGGATTACTCAGCAGGAACTACAAAATGTTTACACGTCACCTCTCTCGTGTTTACCAGCTCCTGCCTCGTGTTCTCCATTTATCCCCGCTCCTTGTCTGGCTGCCCCAGGAACTCATCCCTGCCACCCCGGAGCTGTGCTGGGGACAGGGATGTACCCCGGGTCACAGGGATGTGTCCCAGGTCACAGTGAGTCAGAGGAGGGAAGGAGCAGCCTGAGGGCTGGGAAGATTTGGGAACAGTTTGTAACCTCCAGCCAGTTCCAAAGCTCAGGGAACAGCAGCTCCGTGCAGCAACTACCAGATGAATCCTGTCCAGCTCACATTTGAGTAACACTTGGTGTTGTCATCTCCACAGTTTAGGAAACTGGGAGATGCTGGGCAACTGTGGAATGAACACCTCACCCTAATGCTGTGCCTATCCCACAGGAATGGGACCATGGGGGGCCTGCACTGCCTTCCCTGTAATCCCATCCCACGGATTTTGTGGGATGAACAAGGCACGCCAATTCCTACCAGTTTGCATCAAGCATATACAGAGAGACATTGCAACCTCAAATTCCATATTTTTCTACCCCAAAAGAACAGCATTTTCCTACTTAAAACACTAAAACCCCCTCGCTGGGGATGCTCCCATCATCTCCTGCTTAGAGGGAAAATAAACCAGCTCCAGAGCCAGGACTGCCTTTTCCCTCCTCGTTCTGCCCTCTCTGGTTCCCAACAACCCAAAGAGCAGGTTTAGGATCACAGTGGATGAACACCCCAGTCAGGGTTCATCCAGGTGGTTTTCCACCCTTCAATCCATGTGTACCTCTGGATTTGAGGATGCCAAGCACTGTCCCCTTGTACATAAACACCTAAAGAAATCCTAACAGGGTTCCAGCAGATTCCCAAGACAGGGATTCAAGACAGGCCTCAGCCTCCAAGGCAGGGAGAATTCCTGGCCTGAAACAGGGACACACCTCTGGGATTTTTGGAATGTCTTGTAAGTTTTCCTTACTTTGACAAACCTTTGGCAACTTTAGTGACCTGATACCTGTTTGTTTTTCCAGGTTTCCCCACTCCAGGCTGAACTAGAGAATTAACTGATTAATCTTTGGAAAATGATAAAGCACCGTTGCTGCACCTTTTGGGTTTGATGGATTAAAGAGGAAACAAAACTATCCCAAACTCATCACCTTCCAAAGAGAACCAGTGTCGAAGCCCAACGGTGCAGCTGAAGGAAGGGATAATAAATTAGCTGTGCTTTTATGCAGAATTCCCTGTGTTTGGTTCTAATCCAGGACTGGGGTTTCTCCACGTCAATCCCACAACGATCCCGCTTCCCTGAGCACCACAGAGGGCACAGAAACAGCAAACAATTAATTCCATGGCCAAACATTCCACCTGTGCCCAGAAATCCCCCCGTTCCCAGCACAAACTCACCGAGGCACAGGCCAAGATCCCAAAGAATCCAACCTTCTGCACCAGGTTCTGCACGGCCAGTTTAGCCCGGGAAGCAAAGTCCTGCAGGGAGGAAAACAAAGGATTCCTGAGGCAAATCCCCAGTGAACAAATCCCAAAATGTGTGTGGTTCCCGTGCCCTCCTTGCTTTGGGATTTTCCCACTAGGAGTTGGGAGGAATTTTAAACCAAAAAGGCCAGTCTGAAGCGCTGGGCTTGGAGGGGCCAGAGGGATATTCCCAGTGCTCAGGGTGGGAACTCTGACCACCCACATCCACTGGGTTTGTTTTCCCAATCCATGCCGGTGGCACTGAGCTCCCTGTGTTTGGAAACAGGTTCTCCAGTATTTATTTCCCCCAATCTTTGCAATGCCAGTGCCTCATTCCTTAAGCAAGCAGAGGGAATGAATTCCTTCAGTGCTAAAAAGGCACTTTCTCCAACACAATAATCCCATTATTTCCTCAGATCTGTTCTCTCAAGCCCAGGATCTTCAGCAGAACACCCAATTCCAGGTACTGGCTACGACAGACTTGTAAAATTCCATAAAATCCCTCAAGTTGGAGCTGAAATACTTCCAAAGCAGTGAAGGTGCAGCTCCTGTGACACACTCAGAACGTGCTTTTATTTTGGGATCAGAACTTCCTCCTGAGTCTCAACATTTGCCAAATGCTCAGGAACAACAACAGAAAACCAAACGAAAATAAATCTAAATTTTATTATAAAATTATTATAAAATTTTAAAAAGCAAAAATATTCTCACAAGCAGTTTATTTGAATGTGAGAAGTGAATTTACAAGAGGGGAAAAATCATTTTGAGGCAAAACTGTCTCCAAAAGTGAAAAGCAGGGTCAGGAATTCCCTGCTCAGCCTTGGCCACGGCAGGTACAGAAAGCTGGGAATCTTTGGGAATAGCAAACATGAAAAAATAATTAGGAATTCTTGTTTAAAATCCCACAAAGAAGCAATAAAAAGCCGATTTTCCAGAAGAAAAGCAATAACCACAGATTAACATTTTGTAGGAAACTTATGTAGGAAATTACACAAGGAAATTACTCGAATCAATAATTAATGACATTCTAAATTCCACATTTTACCACTGAATTGTAGAATTTAGAATGTCATTAATTATTGACTAAAGCAACGACAGGACAATGCAGGAAATTTAAATTTATGCAATTTTAACTTTGTCACAGCAATGCAAGAAAACTACAATTATTTGACAATGTCCTGGCATATTATTTAAATTCTGAGCCATAGAATTGACATAATTCTTTATGGCAGATTAAAAAAAAAGAATAAATCTGTGCTAAAGCCATTTGCTTCTTTTTACACCCCTTTTTCAAGTATTAGCCTTTTTTCCATTACTGGGCTTTAAAACAGTCAAATTCTCAAATTAAAAAAAAAAAAACAATTAATTGAAGTCAGAATAATTCTATTTGTTATTCTTAATGTTTGGGAAAATAAACCAAATTAAAGCAAATCCTTCAACTGAAAGAAAAAAAACGCCAAATAAATGAGATTTCCTAATTATTACAGTGGGATATTTTAATTTTAAGGAGAATATAAAACCCCTGTGGAATATTCTGTGAGGGGGAATTTTCTCCCTCTGAGCAGGAGTTACACCTTGGGGTCTGAATGTCTGATTATAAATAAGCAAACCCCAAACCAGGTGATTTATCATTATTTTACACTGGGTTTCTAATACACTGTTGTATTAACTGTCACAGAAACTGGAAATAAACTCTCTAGCAAACAACCTGTAACCTAATACTTTATTTTAAATAAAATATATTATTATAATTATATATAAATTGACTTTATTAACTCAGGGCAAGCCCAGTGCAACAGTTTTAATCAAACTGCTTAAAAAGAAACAGCTTCTCCTCATCCACCTTTCTTGATTGCTGCAGAATTCAAGGCTGCCTTCAAACTAATTTTTCCCTAATAATAATAATAATAATAATAATAATAATAATAATAATAATAACCACAGCTATTATTATTATCACTACTACTACTACTATTTTATAAAACCAATTATGAAAGTGTTTTAACACCCCCCCCCCAAAACAAAACCAGTGTTTGGGCAATTTTTCTCTCACCTTATTAATTCATAACTTTATTTTTTTCAAGTTCTTACTCGGATGGTTTCTCCTTCAAGGTTTGGTTTTACATTGTCTCCAAGGAAAGTACATTTTTAAGTTCTAAAACTTTCACTCCAGAACTTCTAATTTGTTTTTGTTTTTTTTTTCCAACTTTTTAAAATAAGCATTTTTTCAAACTTTGGAAGTATTTTTTAAAACTTTTTCAGTTTTTTTCCCAATTTTTTCAGTTTTTTTTTTCCCAAACTTTTTCACTTTTTCAAGCTTTCAAACTTTCCTATTATTTTTTCCAAACTTTCTAAATAAGCCCAAAGACAAATAAAGGACTTTTTTTCCCCTACAAAAATAATCAGAAATACAGACACTGCATTTTTATAACACAATCACAGGCAGGAATAATTTCCAGGTTAATAAACCCACCAGGTTTGCAACAAAACTATGTATCTGCAGCCTCGATATTGACTTTATGAAACAAATTCACAACTATTTCCGTTTGGTCCCTTCCTTAAATCTTGTTTTCTGATCTTTGTGACATCTGCAACAATAAAACCCCTTCAAGGTTTCATTTCTCCGACAACACAACCCCCAGTTTCACAACTTTTACCTATTTCACAATGATATTTTTTCTCTTCCAAAGCCTGCACAGGGAACAGTCTTTTCTCTTATTTTTTTTTTAATAGTTCGAAATCAAACAACTTTCAGCACTTGAAAAAATAAATTATATAAATATATATATATATGAAAAAAGATAAAAGTTCAGCTACTTACAGGCACCACATTTTCCCCCCAAATTAAAGGATCTAGAGTGGCCTCTCAGCTAAATGTGATTCATTCTTTATAACATTTTAGCTCGCCGTGTTCCCTTCAGAGGTGGTTTGGTTTGGGGGGGTTTGGGAACACATTTCCTGTGAGCTCTGCAGCGCAGGCAGAGGGAGGTGAAGTGATTAAACATGACTTCACTGGGTTAATCATCACATCCCCACAACTGGGGGGGACAGAAGAGGCACAAAAGGTCGGGGGTGAAGGGCTGATTCACCGGGCTCGGCTCGGCTTGGGTGGGTTGGGATCTGCTCAGTTTGATCAGTTCATTGATCCCAACAAAAGCAAAAAAGAAAACCCAGCCCTCCCACACCTCCAAAACCAAGGGGACAGAGAAGAGAAATGACATGTTTTGCTGCAAAGTGGGATTTACCACAGTGTTCCTCCTCCAAAGGGGCCTTGTGGAGCAGCTTTGTGCAAACAGGGCCCTTCTATCCCTGGAAAAACGTCCTTCTTGACAGTGAATCTTAACTACACTTAACAGACAATCTTAACTGCAAGGCTTCATCCCACCCCTCTGTTTTCTTTGGTTTCCATTTATAAGTTACTCTCTCTCTCTTCTTTCTCCCTCGGTGAAGTTGCACAAGCTCCTCTGCCTTCGAGTGAGGAACAAACTCCTCACCAGATTTGGACAAATCTCGAGACAAAAATGGACAAGCTCAAGACAAAAAACAATTTTAATCAATCAGTTTTCCCCCTTTTCCCTCTGTAACACTGAGTTATTAATCAGGAAGCAGAACAGCCACTATTTGTTGTTCACAATGAAATTGTGAAGCCTCTTTTCTCCTCCTCTCCAAGAGCAGAGGTGGTTGATGGAGCTGCAGGGAGTGAGTTGATGGTATCAAGGAGATCTGAACAATCCCTACAGGAACAACCTTAACACTTCCCCAGAGACCTCTGCTCAAAAGCCTGCCCAGATTACGCCATGTAACAGTTTATTCTCCAACCTGCAGCTGCAATCAGATTTTAGGAGCATCAGGAAAGCCACGGCCCCCCATCACAAACCAGCTCAATCCCTGAAAGGCACGACCCAAACTTCCAGTGATTTGAGGCCTGAAAAACTCCTCTCCATTTTTTTTTTTTTTTTGCTGCTGTAAATACCTCAAGTACTTTTGAGAAGAAGGGAAGGAATATTTGAGACTAAATTGCATCCCAAGTCCATCGTGTACATGTTCCCTACTCGTAAGATCACCCGGGGCCTTAACGTGGGATGGGGGGAAGTCAGTGATGCATTCATGGAACTGCTCCAGCAGGATATTCATCACCTGGCAGATGGTGCCCTGAACAAGTTAAAAATAAATTTCTGGAGGGCCTGGAAGGGGTTACAAAGGGTTTGTTACTCTGAGAGAAAACAGGAGCGTGGAGGAACATGGAGAAAATAACAAGACAAAGAGGGATCTGAAGGGAATGTGCTGCACCTCGATGGTTCCCCACAACCCAGGAGGGCACTGGAGCTGCTGCAGAGATGGATTTTCATCCCAGGGCAGACCCCCCACTGCAAATGTGTGACTGGAATGTGATGAAGTGGACGTTCCCTTAAGGTCTGAGTATAATTTATATTACTATTATAATGTTTTTCCTACTAGAAAAAGTTAATCCATCCAAATAATAAACTCAAGAGGAGAACACTTTTCCCCCCCAAAGATTGAAGCCCAAGTCCAAAGGCACCACCTCAGATTATCAAAATTATAGATTCCTTAACATTTAAAGAGCTGCCTACACAGACAGTGCCCCTCTTTATGTAAACATCTGAGTTATGTTAAAAATGAGCTGCTCGGTATTTTGTTACTTCTGGCTTTCTGTCCCAACACAATGGAATCAAACACAACTTATGGGAGAATGACCATTTGTGGTCAGGCAGTGGATTCCAGGATTTCAGAGGACTGGGAAGAATTATTAACTCGTTGGAATAATGGATTAACTGCAGAGGAGCAGCTCCACAGAAGTCAGGGAGCTCCCTGTGGGATGGGAGGGCCCAGCACACATCCCTGCAAGGAGGGGAGATCAGCAGGGATTTAAGGAGCAACACACCAACCTGGAGAGAAGGTGAGGAGAACAGGGATCAAATCCAGCAAACAGTTCACCCCTCAGTGACCATTTCACACAAGAAACCAAAGGTGACAGATCTCCCGAGGAAGGTACA